CCCAGACCATGTTCTGTCATCCACTTTGTTAAGCCTGCCAGGTATGTCATGTTATTGAATTCCTTGTCTCAATTTTCCCACTTTCGACCTGTGGGGTATTTGATTTTCCAGGCCCTTCTTTCTCATTATGTGTCCCAGAAAACTTCATCTTTGGAGGTTCTTGATGTTAAGTATAAAAACATATTTTTTTGCAGCCTTTAAATATCAATCATTGCTCACATGCTCAGTCCATGATATCCTTATTTCCTTCTATTTTTTTTTTTTTTTGAAAAATTGTCTCTTCTTCGTTTTTTTTGAAGAGACCATCCAATTTGCATCCCATAAAGGATGTTCAGATGTCATGTATTACTAAGTAGTCTTTTTTTGTTACCAAAATATCCTCCTGTCTATTAAATATGCTTAACTTTTGAATCCATCCTTTTCCATCCCAATAATTAATCTTTTTCTCAGTGTCGCATTTACTTAAAGAAGGACAGATGTCATTAACACCTCAGTATTCTTTTTTTGTTTGAAAAGAAATCCTCCTATCTTGCAATTTACATATCCCATTGTTTTTGAAATGCATCCTTGTCCATTTTACGTATTGAGGATATTAAATTCAAAATACCATAAAAAAAAGAACAAAAATTTCAGATAACAGCTCAGTATTCTCTTCTTTGTTACCACAGAAATCCTGTTGTCTAAGGGAAACAAATTTGTCCAGCTTTTAATTTGCGTCCTTTGCCATCCCAATAAATCTTCAAATCTCAGTGCGTTTTCCTAAAACAAAAAGTTGTTGTGAGATATTTAAAAAAGAAATAATGTGATTTTCTAGAATTTTTATATAAGAGTTCTATTTTCACTTTTAAGATGGACCTACCCTTGAAAATTAAACCATTCTTAGAAAATTTCAAGGAGCAAACTCAGAAAATCAGCAGGGGATGAAATACTTTATTTTTTCCACTGTATGTTGTTTGTAAATAAAGGAACAACTGTATACGGCATGCATTTAAAGCTCTTTTTTAAACCAAAACATTCTTGGATTAAAATTCCCTAATCCATTTCATTCACCAAACAGCGTAGCATAAGTCAAAAATAATTCAAAAACACATGGAAAGATCTGTTCCGGTTAGAAAAAAATTCACACTGTTCTGTCACATTGTCAAAATTTGAAATTTGTAAAAATAGTGACAAATCAAATTTGCATAGGTCCAAAAAAGTCTTGTGAATTCATGATTGGCTTCAAGATTTATTGTTTCTTTCTAATATACACTCTTTGGGTCCTGTTTGAATTTTTAAAACACCTTTATCCCCTTTGCTTGTTTCAAATTGGTTGAGTTTCAATACCCGGTTAAGGCAGTGGAGAACTTGGAGAATAAATTAACAGGAAACTGATAACTGACATCCATTAAAAATAGATGGAACTGGAACAGTCTACCCCAGTGAGTGAAATAAAGAGTTCAGTTTGACATTCTAAATATATGAAAAAGGCCGGAGTGTACAATTATCTGAAACGTTGTAATAAATATGGCAACAAAGATGAGGACAATAGTCCGAATAATGTAAATAGAGTATCACTCCTAAAGTCACCATTTTCTTTTTGGGATACTTTTCACATGGAACACATTCGAATCCACTATATACCATGAGGCAAAACCATCTTCTCCTGTGTTACAGGTTTGTTCTAACTTCTTGCTTTTCTTTACTACCTTGTTTAAGAGCTTTATCAGTTTTCAGTCTTACTCTGCTTTCAATACAGTGCCATAACTTATTCTCAACAATACAAATGAAGAAGACTGTAGGATAGATAGACTGAAATAGTAGACTCAGAAAAGAAAGGCTATACTCAATAATCTGAAGTATCCTTGGAATAATTATAACTCTTCCCAAAATTCTATATTTGGTCTTTGTTTTGCACTCATTTGAACTCTCTGTATCTTTTGTGTTGTTGATTTTATTTTTACTGTACTTGATTGAACTTTATTCTCTAGTTTTGTTTAAGTGCACCAGGCCCCTATAGAATAGGTCATTAATTTATTGATCATAAACACTGCCACTATTCAAAGAAAAAAGAGGAGCTAAGAATAAAGATTTATTCAACATAATCTAATGGTATTTATAATAGCAAGATTAAAAGAAATTTCAAAGAATTATGGGTTGTTTTATTTTTTTTTTTTAATATCTAAACACAGAATTAAGGATATACTTTTTTTTTTTAAAAAATCATTTCATTCCAAGCAAAGTGTTGATGCCACTAAGATGCAGGGAGGGGAAGAGAATGAGAAAGTTTTTGAGATGATAGAAGGATGGGATCCAAGAAAACAGATGATGACAATTGATGCTGCATTTAAACTTTTGACATCTAGCTAGTTCTAGTTCAACAGTAAAACATGGGACCTAGTAGCCAGTCTAGTAGTACACTTAAATTCATGCAATTGAAACACCAAGGAGGATAGCTCTCTAGAGTAACTGGCATGAAAATATAGAAAAGACAGACGGAAGACACGTCATGGCGATGGAAAAATAAGTGAAGTCAACATGCCATGTTAGCATTATTTACATTATTCAGACTATTGTCCTCTTCTTTGACGCCATATTTATTACAACATTTCGGCCATTGTATGCTCCGGCCTTCTTCAGGTGGTTCGAATGTCAAACTGAACCTTTAATTTAGACTGTTCTAGTTCCATATGCCATTTTTTAATGGATGCCATTTATCAGTTATCTCCTGTTAATTTCCCTCTGAAAATTCTCCACTGCCTTAACCGGGTATTGAACTCACACTCTTTGGGTCCTGTCACTGGATCTAACCGATGCCTTTATCCACTGTGCACTGTGTCCTTGAGGACATCTGAGTATGAATTTCTGGGTATTACAAACCTAATGTTGGCGACAAAGATGAGGACAACAGTCCGAATAATGTAAATAATGTACATAATACCTCATCTCAGAAATATAGACAGATGCCATATTAGGATCAATAACATTACAGACCCATCTCTAGATTCTGCTGAGAACCTCATAGCCAGAGCAGATATGGCATATATATTCAATGCACAGACAAATGGTAGATTTATAAATGTGTAAAATAGATTCTGAAGAGAAAAATCATCTAGTACAATACAGTGAACCAACCTTCTTAGCAGCAAACCTAGCAATTGATTCAATATAATCACTCCACTTCATGTCAGTGGAAAACGTGAGATCAAAAAAGCAATTTGTTCTCATAGAGGTTAACATTGGCCAATGCTGATAGAGGGCAAAAGTAGTTTTTCATGATGATTGAAGGATAGCTGTTTCATTTTGTAGGTGTTAAAATTTGTAAGTTATTTCCTTCCCAATATATTTTCTAGATGTATACAATGTTGTTCAAAAGTAAGTGAGACCCTAAGATAATATTTTTTAAAATTTTCACTTTTTTCAAAGGATCAACAAATCATAATTAAACTATATATTCATTAAGAAAAACCTTTATTAAGTCAATTACATTTACGTTTAATATTTGGTGACTGCTCCTTTGAGGTTACAATTGCAACCATTCTTTTTCTATCATTTTTAAGAAGTTTCTGACAATAGTGAATGCTAATTTTTAACATTTCTTCTTGGCAAAACTCACACAATTGCTAGATTTTACCCAGCAAACTACTGTGGGAAAAAAACTGCCTCGTCAGTCATATATCAAAAGATACAGGATCACCTAAGTGTGTATCATGCATGACACATAACTGAATATCATTTAGTTGAGCCTGCTTCTGCTATTTCATAAGTAGCTGCTTTTTCTAGGCATTCTGCCATGAAAATTGGCATTGTTCAGATTTCGTCTCACTGAACATGTATGCACATTGATTCTAACATTGCCCAGTGAGCATTGGAGAACTGCAATGGTCAGCACAGGACCATTTCATACCTGGAATTGCTGAACTAGATGTCTATTTACTTACAGTTATTTTTCACATCAGCAAATTCTTGATTGCGATGCTGTTATACCAAAAGTTTTACATTTATAAATAATTTGTTGCACAGCGGAGAAGTGCACTCCAAATAATTTTGCTAGCTTTTTGTAGCCTTCTCCATCATTCGAAGTTTCAACTATGCATTTTTTTAAAACTTCAGGAAGTTCTTTTGATCTTTGCATATATATTTTTTTTAAATTTAGTCTCTAACTTTAGCATATATTATGAGTTATATTGTTTGAGTGTAGTTTACACAGCTTAGCAAAAACTAAGCACATGCCATTTTGATTTTTACATGTGCACAAAAATTATTTGCACTGGCAACCATGTAAAACAAAAATACAGCGTGTAAATTTAAGGGTTCACTTACTTTTGCACATCTTAATTTTTAATTAATATTTTTATTCCAACTTGATAGAAATATTTGAAAGTGGTTGTAGTTCGTTTCATAAAGGCTTTTCTTAATGAATATATAGCTTAATTAAGATTTGTTGATCATCTGGAAAAAAAGAGAGAATTATTTTAAATATTATAAGTATGGTAAGTATGTGATACTTTTCAGGGGATTTAAGAAACATTTTTATTTTATTTTTTATTAGCCCACTCCTACAGAATAAAAATATGCAAAAATGACTAAATAGCCGTTAATTGTAATGACAAGTTTTCATCTGGTAAATTAGAATTCTATCAAATCTTATATTAAGCATGTAATAAAGAAACAGAAGAAATAAGATGTAAGAAAAATGAAAGAAAAACAATGACAATTCCACTTAGAAATTTGAAAACTATTTCATTTTATTAGATTGGAAAGAAAGATTTGTTGTATTTTAAGATGGAAGAGAAATAAATAGTTTTTTTTTGTATTAATATATTTAATCAGGATAATGTTTCGCTCATTATGGCTAACATAATCCTATTTATTTTGGAGAGGGTTTTATCCTTCAGGCATAAATTTCTTCAGGTTTTGATGTAAAGAAATGCTCAATATCAGTTTAATATCTTGACAGTACAGTTTTCCCTCTAAAAAGTGTTGCAATGATCTGTAAAAATGACAGATGGGGAGCATGGTTAGGAGAGTAAGGAGAATGAGATAGATAGATAGATAGATAGGTATAGAGAGAGAGAGAGAGAGAGAGAAAGAGCGACCTGAATAGAAACCAACATAGATAGTGCATGGTGAGTGCAGTAGGATTGACCTTTGCTTTGATACAGGGCCTTTGATCTTTTGTTTTGCATATTCAAGTATCTAGTTTCAGAAACAAAGTTAGCTGATGTGCTTAAGAATGTAAGTGTTTATATTAATGAGGTGCTAAGGAGATGATAAGTATATGATACTTTTCATGGGATTTAAGATTTATTTTTATTTGATTTTATTTATTAAAAGTCGTCCACTCCTACAGAATACAAAAATGACTAATTAGCCATTAATTATAATGACAAGGCTTCATGTAGTTAATTTGAATTCTATTAAATCTAATATTAAATCTAATATTAAATCTAATATTAAGCATGTAATAACAACTGAGAAATATGATGAAAGAAACACTAAACAAAAAAAAATGACAATTCAACTTAGAAATTTGAAAATTATTTCATCTTATTAGATTGGAAAGAAAGATCGGAAACAAATGTTTTTCTTGTATTAATAATTATATTTAATCAGGATAATATTTCCCTCTTTATGGCTAACATAATCCTATTTATTTGGCAAATGTTTTATCCTTCAGGCATAAATTTCTTCAAGTTTTGATGTAAAGTAATACCCAATATCAGTTTAATTTCTTCAAAATTTTCTTTACAAAAAGTTTCCCCTCTAAAAGGTGGTGCAATGATCTGCAAAGATGACAGATGGAGCATGGTTAGGAGGGTAAGGGAAATGAGATAGATTGATAATAGATAGATAGATAGATAGATGATCTGAGAAACCAAGATAGATAGATAGATAGATTCTGAGTAAAACCAAGATAGATAGATAGATAGATAGATCTGAGAGAAACCAAGATAGATAGATAGATAGATAGATCTGAGTTAAACCAAGATAGATAGATAGATAGATAGATCTGAGTAGAAACCAAGATAGATAGATAGATAGATAGATCTGAGTAGAAACCAAGATAGATAGATAGATAGATAGAAAAAACTTACTAGATAGATAGATAGATAGATAGATCTGAGTTTAAACCAAGATAGATAGATAGATAGATAGACAGATCTGAGTAGAAACCAAGATAGATAGATAGATAGATAGATCTGAGTAGAAACCAAGATAGATAGATAGATAGATAGATAGATCTGAGTAGAAACCAAGATAGATAGATAGATAGATAGATAGATCTGAGTAGAAACCAAGATAGATAGATAGATAGATAGATAGATCTGATTAAACCAAGATAGATAGATAGATAGATAGATCTGAGTAGAAACCAAGATAGATAGATAGATAGATAGATCTGAGAAAACCAAGATAGATAGATAGATAGATAGATCTGAGTAGAAACCAAGATAGATAGATAGATAGATAGATCTGAGTAGAAACCAAGATAGATAGATAGATAGATAGATCTGAGTAGAAACCAAGATAGATAGATAGATAGATAGATCTGAGTAGAAACCAAGATAGATAGATAGATAGATAGATCTGAGTAGAAACCAAGATAGATAGATAGATAGATAGATCTGAGTAGAAACCAAGATAGATAGATAGATAGATAGATCTGAGCAGAAACCAAGATAGATAGATAGATAGATAGATCTGAGCAGAAACCAAGATAGATAGATAGATAGATAGATCTGAGCAGAAACCAAGATAGATAGATAGATAGATACATCTGAACAGAAACTAACAAAGATAGCTAGATAATTAGATTGATATATAGCTAGATAGATAGATCGGAACAGAAAACAACACATATTGATATATAGTTAGATAGAAAGAGAAACCAACAGATAGTCTTACCAAAGACTGAAATAGATAGATAGATAGATAGATAGATAGATGTGAACAGAAACTAACAAAAATAAGTGGATAATTAGATTGATATATAGCTAGATAGATAGCTAGATCTGAACAGAAAACAAGACAGATAAATATATAGCTAGCTCGATAGATAGATCAGAACAGAAACCAACAGATAGATAGATAGATACATAGATAGATAGATCTAAACAGAAACTAACAAAGATAGCTAGATAATTTGATATATAGCTAGCTAGCTAGATAGATAGATCGAAACAGAAAACAACACAGAAAAATATATAGCGAGATAGATCTGAATAGAAACCAACAGATAGATAGATAGATAGATAGATAGATAGATAGATAGATAGATCGATCGATCTTAACAGAAACCAACATAGATAGATAGATAGATATGGAGAGAAACTGACATAGATAAATTGATAGATAAATCTGAACAGAAACTGGCATAGATAGATAAATAGATAAATGTATTAGGTTCTAAAGAAAGTCTAAGACATACTTGAAGATGGAAAGAAACAAAATACTTCTTTTGTATTAATTGATATATTTAATGTACTTAATATTTTTCCACATTATTGATAACATAATCACATTTATTTGGCAAATTGTTAATCCTTCAGGACTAACATTCTTCAGATTTCAATGTGAAAACTCTCAGTATCCGTTGCAGCCTCTTCACAATTAATAGACTGTTTTCCCTCTAATAATTCTGCTATGACCAGAAATGACAATAGAGTAAGGTCTGGAGAATAAAACATCTATATTTAGTGCCATAATCTTTCTCTGAGGAACTCAGGCATATTGTCATGTTGAAGGAACACACTTTGAATATTAACTAATGATGAAGTGGCTTCTCTACAGATGTTCATGGAATATTTTCAATTGATAATTGATCTTTTGATTCAATAATACTTCTCAATATTAACAGTTTCAATTTGGTTTAGCGTTTCATATGGCTTCAAACACAAGGGCATAATTTTGTGATGGATTTTCCTTTTTCAGTCGACATGATTATTGGAAACTGACTTTTCATCAGTGTTGATGATTTTATTATTTATTGTAAAGGTTTGACATTAGGTCTACACTTCAACGATGAGTAGAAGGCAATATTTTGATTAAGGTGAGAAGCAGTCAGTTGAAGAGAGGACACTTTGATCAAGGTCAGACCATTGTTATAGTCTGCTTCAAATTTGACCACTTTCCCATTCATTTCTGCATCAAAATCAGTGAGTCAGATGTGAAAGCTATGAGAAAGGCTAGAGGGCACAATGGCTGTAACATTGAGAAAACAACAACAACAAAGATGAAGATAATAGTCCAAATATAAATAAAGTAAATAATACTTGTAAGATATCTTGAAATCTAGAGCCAATCAACAATTTTGAATCTCGTTTTTATTTCCAATGCCATATAATAAGGCTATTTTTTTATGAAGCATTCATATTGTTGACTAGTGATACAAACAATTAATATTAATTAATTTTAACCCATGAAAACTTTGCAGTTTTCCTATTTTAAATTTTGGATGTATCATAATTCTTCAGTTAATGGTTGAATGAGCTCATGGAGAATTTTAAAACAATAAAATATCCATAGAAATACACCAATCACATTGTTAAATATTTGAGCTTAACAACTTTACCAAATTATTACAATAACAATCACAAATATGAATGCTGGTTGTTATTCTAAGAAGTAAGGGGGTACAAATGAAAACATTTGAAATTGGCAACTTTTTCCATTTTACTGAAGCAGCCGTTAAACACTTCTCTCTTTACTTTTTTACTTACATTTTCTCACCAAGTAGAGTATGTGATATTTTTTTCTTTTTTTAAGCAATCAAAATGAAATAGTACATTATTTGAGTCATTAGCAGGAGATATTAAACAATTCTATCTTTCTTTCTTACTTTTATCACTGAAAACCAAGTAGCATCTCTGATAATTCTTTTATCTTTCCTGGTAACCAAATTGGAATAGTTCATTATTTATGAGATACTGGCAGGACATAATTGTGCAAACTAATGAAGGCAGGGACAAACGCAATTATAAATGGATTCTTATGCTGCAGTAAGTATTGCAAAAGTACCCACAAAATGATAATATAAAAAATATGAGAAATTTTATTTCCAACATAATATAATTTTGTTCTTCAGGATGTGGGTGATCATGTCTGTATGCAATAATGTCATAAAAAACAAAATAAATCACATAAAAGATGAAATAAAGATCAATAACATTAAAATTCTTTATTCATAAATGGGATTTAACTCAATACGAAATTTGAAATACGTAGAAACATTTTCAATCTATGAACTAATTAAATGTCTAGATAATATTTTTTTAGTCTTGTTGAAATTTATTTGTATGTAAGTCCTGTAGACTACCCTGGTGACTACAGGGCCACAGCTTCACTACACTTGGTGTTGCTGCTCTTGTTTCAATAGCAGATTTTTATGGGATGAAGTTGCTAACGCTACACTCAACACCGATTTTGAATTCAGAGTTGTTCTAGAGAGTCCAGTCTACCCTGCTATTAGCCCTAGCTGTTCAGAGGAGAGATGCAGTCATACCCGTCTTAGAAATATTTGTGTGAAAGTAAATGCAACAAAAGAATTTGAACTTGGGGCACTAATCTTACTTTCCATATAAATAACAACTAGGTTACATTTGTATTGATAAATTTAACTGTGGACTCCTCTGTGGGATATAGGGCCATAGCTTCACCTTGCTAGGCATAGCTCTGGTGTTTCCCTCACAAGGTTTTTATAAAGTTGGGTTACAAAACCCCTGCCCAATTGGTTTTGAATTCAAAGTGGTTCCTTCTCCTAGACTGGTTACCAACTAAAGCTAGAACACAAATGTAGTCTGTATAGTTGTACAAATGAATATTTTTGCATATCAGTCAATCTATCAATTACCCTGTGGACTTCCCTGTGGAAATGTGGGCCACAGTCTAACCCTGCAAGGTCTTGCTGCTATGGTTTCCATTGCAAGCAGGTTTTTATGAACTGCAGTTGCTAGGCTCACACTTGTAGTGGACCGTGGCTGTGATGTTTTTGAGTAGAAGTAGAAGAAACATATGTGGGGTTAAAATCTTCCTGCAAGCCGGTCCAACTACATGAGAAAGTTGGACTTTAATCAAGTCCAAAGAAGGCAAAGAAAAAACAAACACAAGACCGATAAATATACGTATACAAATATATATATTAATAACAAGTTACATGGAACAGTTACAAAGGACAAAGTGTGTGTGTGAATATTATATATATATATGTGTGTGTGTTTGTATTGTACTTAGCCTGTTCCCAGCATTTGGGAAACGCTATCTCTGTGAGCGCTTACATTTGCAAGGTGGTAAGGCTGAAAGCCTGAGGAAAAAGAGAGGAAGAGGCGAAGGGTCAGCAACTATTTATAGCCAGGCAAGAGAGACCCCTGGTGAAAGGGTTAACGAACTAAAGGAGAAGTTAACTCCGACACACTCAAATGGATTTAGAGCTGTCCTTCTCCTAGACTGGTAGCCAAGCTAAGCTGGAGGCCACAGTCCGCCTGGCTATTAACCTCAAGCTGGAAGAAAAAGAAACGGATTCATGCCTTTTCTAAGGGTATTTGCATAAAAGCAAACATAACGGACTCGGTGGGAAATTGAACGCAGCATGCCAATCTCATTTTCCATACTGATAACCACTACACTATGCCCACATTGTCGTAATTTACCAATGTGACATTGACATAAAAAGTGTTGAGTTGGTCAGAGGGCAATAAAAAAAGACATTTCTTCTGTGTATATCAAAGAGTTCATTTAATTTATGTGCTGACCGTATGAATAATTCATGTGTTTGTGATCTTTTATTGGTTGTAAATGTCAGTTGATCAAAAAACAAATGTTTCTTCTTAGTTTCTCATGAGCTTAAAGAGACTTTATTACATTAAAGTATAATAAATGCTGAGTTATATATCCGGATCATGAACATTGATTAAAAAGAAATAAATACCAGATATACTCGTGTAACATATGATCTTGTGTATCGCTCAACCACCAAATTTTCATTTGATTTTATCATCTTGTGGAATAATCCACGTTATCCTTTCACTCCTTTCAGAACAATCCATTTTACACCCACGTACCTTCCATCCAATCAGAACTCCAGTTTTAGCAAGCTCAGTCTCTCATTGGTCAAAAGCCTCAGAAACTGTAATATTCACATGAAAAATCTTTTTGGCACTCGATCGCCTCTGAGCCTAAATTTCCTCTCTCAAGCAGTAGCTATGACTTCAGCAGGGAGACAGGTGACTTTGTGTAGCTATGACTTCAACAGAGAGACAGGTGACACACATTCTGAGGATAGTATTTATGTGACCTGTTGAAATCTACTCTCTCTTACTACCTACCTATGCTTACTAAATGCTCCCTAAAATAGTGAGAAAAAAGAAACCTGAAGTAAACTGCCATTGATTGACTAGTGATGCTGTTGGACATAGTTTATTGTCTTACCCAGGACATGGATGTAGTTTATTGTCATACCCAGGACAGAAATTTAGTTGGGGTAGATGAATGCAAATTTCAACTATTTGATAGTAAGAGGAAGCTGGAGAAAAACTAAAAACTAAAAACAATTAACTTTAGTTATTGAAATGTTATCATTTACTTTAATACAAAAATATCACATTTTAAGGTGTTTTTTTAAAGAAATGCAGTATGGCCCAAAACTGTTTGCCTGTAGTATACATATATTTTAAAAGAGTACTTTTTGCTTGTAGTGTACATATATTTCAAAAGAGTTCTTTTTGCTTCTAGTGTACATATATTTTAAAAGAGTATTTTTTGCTTGTAGTGTACATATATTTTAAAAGAGTTCTTTTTGCTTGTAGTGTACATATATTTTAAAAGAGTTCTTTTTGCTTGTAGTATACATATATTTCAAAAGAGTTCTTTTTGCTTGTAGTATACATATATTTCAAAAGAGTTAATGCATTTTTGCCTTTAATCTATCATATTCATTACTTCAAATGTATTTTTTAGTGTAGAACATCTTGTTTTTTTTTTAAACAGTGTTTGTCTACCGGTCTGTGCATTCTAGAAAACTTAATAAAGAAAATGTATCCTCCAGCAGGATTCGATCCTGCATCCCTCTTCCTAAGAGGAATCCTCATCTCATCTGGTGGGATTTAGACCCATCGGCTATGGAGAGTCCTACAGCTAAGTAAGGTTGTATATACCTTAAAACAATATCTCCTCATTCAGATCTTTTTCTCAAAAGACATATCGGCTCAGTTTCATATTCAAAATTTAAACAAAGCAATTTCTAAAGAGTTAACAGATTAAAAATAAAAATCCATTATTCTAATATGAGTATCCACTAAAAATAATGTTTGAAGCAATATATGCATATATATATATAT